GTCAGTAGTGTCATTTGCAAATATCTTCTCCCATTCTGTGGGTTGCCTCTTTGTTTTATTGACTGCTTCCTTTGCTGTGCAGAAGCTTTTTATCTTGATGAAGTCCCAAAAGTTCATTTTTGCTTTTGTTTCTCTTGCCTTTGGGGACGTGTCTTGAACAAAGTTGCTGTGGCCGATGTCGAAGAGGTCACTGCCTATGTTCTTTAGGATTTTGATTGATTCCTGTCTCCCATTGAAGTCTTTCATCCATTTTGAGTTTATCTTTGTTTATGGTGTAAGAGAATGGTTGAGTTTCATTCTTCTGTATATAGCTGTCCAATTTTCCCAGCACCATTTATTAAAGAGACTGTCTTTTTTCCGTTGCATATTTTTCCTCCTTTGTCAAAGATTATTTGACCATAGAGTTGATGAATATGGATTCCAAAATTCTCAACAAAATCCTAGCTTATGTAATCCAACAATACATTAAAAGGATCATCCACCACGACCAAGTGGGATTTATCCCCGGGATGCAAGCGTGGTTCAACATTCGCAAATCAATCAATGTGATAGAACACATTAATCAGAGGAGAGAGAAGAACCATATGGTCTTCTCGATTGATGCAGAAAAAGCATTTGACAAAACACACCATCCTTTCCTGATTAAAACTCTTCAGAGTATAGGGACAGAGAGAACATTCCTCAATTTCATAAAATCCTTCTATGAAAAACCCACGGCGAATATCATTCTCAATGGGGAAAAGCTGAGAGCCTTTCCCTTAAGATCAGGAACACGACAAGGATGCCCATTCCCGCCACTATTGTTCAACATAACACTAGAAGTCCTAACAACAGCAATCAGACAACAAAAAGAAACAAAAGGTATTCAAATTGGCAAAGAAGAAGACAAACTCTCTCTCTTCACAGATGACATGATACTTTATGTGGAAAACCCAAAAGACTCTAACTCCAAATTACTAGAACTCATACAGCAATTCAGTAATATGGCAGGATACAAAATCAATGCACAGAAATCAGTTGCTTCCTTATACACTAACAATATACCTGTGGAAAGAGAAATTAGAGAATCGATTCCATTTACAATAGCACCAAAAACCATAAGATACCTTAGAATAAACCTAACCAAAGAGGTAAAGGATCTATACTCTAGGAACTTCAGAACACTCATGAAAGAAATTGAAGGAGACACAAAAAGATGGAAAAACATTCCACGCTCATGGATCGGAAGAATAAACATTGTTAAAATGTCTATGCTGCCCATAGCAATCTATACCTTCAATGCCATCCTGATCAACATTCCAATGGCATTTTTCAAAGTGCTGGAACAAACAATCATAAAATTTGTATGGAATCAGAAAAAACCCTGAATCGCCAAGGAAATGTTGAAAAAGAAAAACAAAGCTGGGGGCATCATGTTGCCTGATTTCAAGCTATATTACAAAGCCGTGATCACCAAGACAGCATGGTACTGGCACAAAAACAGACACATAGACCAATGGAAGAGAATAGAGAGCCCAGATATGGAGCCTCAACTCTATGGTTAAATTATAAATTAAAGTATCCATTGACTCAATCCCAGGGTTGAGTTGGGGAGGGGAATACTCTGGGAGAAGCTTCTGAATTGACCCACTTGAAAAGCAAGGGAACTAGAGTACTTATATGCAAATCCTGGCAGTCACTTGTGAAAGGCTGCCCTCCTAGGGGTGTTAATTCCCTGATATTTCTCCAGTGGCTTCCAGCAGCCCAGAGAAAGCCCTCGGGCAGAGACCCAGGGGCTGGTGGCTGGAAGTCAAGCTGGCAAGCACTGAAGTGTCAAGGAACAAGGGGGTGTAGGCAGGGCACCCACATCTGCCAGAAATGCACTGCAGCCCTTCCTTCCCCCTAGCTAATTCTAACTCACCCTTTAGGATTCAACTGAAACATCACCTCTTCTGGAAATCCTTCATAGACCTTCTCTCTGATTTAGCTGCTTCTTGTCTGTTTCCCAGTGAAACCTTTGCCTACCTGCATCAGAGAATCTGTTACTTCCTCTTCTGATTGCTGCTTCCACTTCTTTGTGAGCTTTTTGAGGGAATAGAATGTCAACTTTATCTTCAAGGTCTTCCATCGTTCTGACATGTGATGTTGGTCAATAAATGGTTAAGTAGTAAAAGGAGTAATAATAATGACACCATAACACTAATAGCCGGTATTTATTGAATGCTCATTCCGTGTATGCACTTTACATGTATTACATATTACCAGCTCTAGAAAGTTAGTACTTTTGTTATCCCTATTTCTCAAATAAGAAAGCTGAGGTTATAGGTTTACATAATTTGCCCACGATTGCACAGCTATATATGGTTTGGCCTGATCTGAATCTGGATCCTGGGTATACTCTTAACCACTATATGGAAAAATGAATGAAAATGAATGAATAAATGGATAATAATATTGAGTCTGATCCTTCAACACCTGGGAACATTCTAGGGATGATGCTATCAGTATAGTCTATATAGTCCCTGGAAGCAGCTATCCCTCCCCTGACATCTTTTGTAATGGCACTGACTGCTCTATTATATGTTCAAATGCATCTGCATGTCTTACTTTCCTTACTAATGATAAATTTCTAGACAACTGCATAATCTGATATTTTCTATTTCCCCAGACATAAAGCCACACATACAAAAGGTTACCAATGAGTGTTTGCCACATGGACAAATGGATACATGGTTGACAAGCAAAGGGATCTTTGACTCTTCCTCTATCTTTCCCTGGAAACTGTGGAGACTTTTTTTCATCCCACTCTGAGATTCCAGAAAGTCTGTTGTCAGAGAGATGGCTCTGGATATTTTAGATGGCTCTGAAAAATAAAATTTTGTTTAAATATATTAAGTTCAGGGAAGAATCTGTGAAGAGTTTACTTTGTAACATTTTGGTAATCATTTGATTAGAAAATTATATTTCTAAGAGAAAGACATTCTTTCTCCCAAAATTCTATTCATAGAAAAAAATGAAAGAAAGAAATTATATAGAAAATCACTACTGTTTCTAACGATTTGAATGGAAGAAAATTTACTTCTTGAAAAATTAACCATGGCCATCAAGAATTATTTCCTAAAACTTCAAATTAAATGCATTTTTCATTCCCAGTGCCTGGTATATCTATAATCTTCATTTATAATTAGCACTTTGAAGAGTGTCACATTGAATAAATTTGGCTAAGAAATTACTAAATTTAAAGCATATATCTGAGAGGAAATTACAAATTCTTACTGAGTCCTCATTGTTTGCAAATCATCACATAGATCCATGCTGTCCTGGTATGTAAGAGATAGATAGGAAATACAAACACAAGAATTCTCTAATTTGACTAAAATATCAGAGAAAATTAAAAATAAAACCTCAAAAATTTTATTCCACAGAAATTTCTTTATATATTTTAGTGTATAAAATTAATTGCATTACATACCAGGGAATACAAAGGAACATAAGACATAGTCTTTAACTTTGCAGAATTTGTGATCTAGAGATGGGCATCTGCCAGACAGATATGTTAACAAATAGACTTATGATTTGGTGGTAATAATAACTAATTTATAGCACTTAATATTTCAGTAGCTGTCCCTAGTGCTTTATGTAACATTATCTCATTTAATCCTTGCAACAACTCTATGTAGGAGGCATTATTATCCCACTTTATAGCTGATGAACCTAAAACTCAGAACTGTTTGGTAACTTTTCCAAGGTCACATGCCTAATGAATGGGTGGGTGGAGGAGCTGTCTGCAGACCTCAGCCCAAAGGTCCTTAAAGTTGATATTCAGAAGGCGTTAAAAATAAGGTACACTGAAGAGAAGACTATTCATTCAAACTTGGATGGAGCAGATGTTATGGTGCCTCAGTTTGGCCTTGAAGGATGAGTGTGAACAGAGATGGAGAAGGCATTGCTTCCAGGACTGAGGTGGGTAGAGGAAACTAGCAGAGATCTTAGAAAACAGAATTAAGTGGTGTGTGGGTGAAGGTGGTAGCATGAGTGGAACAGAGGAGGGGAAACCAAGGCAAGTGGGCAGAACCAGATACTGCTGGCCTTGAGTGTAACCCCCAAAGAGTCTAAGACCTTTCTCATTAGGCAAACAGGAGTCACAGAACAGTTGTGAACCAAATTAGAGCTGTATTTGAAGATTGATTTGGCAGCTATATGTAAAAGGAGTTGGAATCAGGAGTGGGAAAAAGAGAAGAGCAGGTTAAGAAAGCACAAAATAGGGAAGTCTGAATTTGAGTTGTAGTGATGTGAATAGAAAGGAAAAAACATGGAAAGAAGACAGGATTCGGACTGCCTGGATGTGAGCAACAGTGAAGGAGAAGAGATGACAACATTTCAAGAGTTCAAAAAGCAACTGTGTCATCCAGAGCGCAGAGGACACATGGGTCCTTGCCCAATTACAGGGGTTTCACTGGGATGAGGGGAATTAAATGGAAATGATAGGACTGGGGTGGGTTGGGAGAGGGGCAGTTGAACTTCCATGGTTAAAGATTTGGATTTGCAGGTATGGCAAACCAGCACTTTTCACTGTGCAGTGCAGAGATTGGACACAGTGTCAGCCAACAGCCAAATGGCGAGCTCCACATTTCTAGATACTTCAGGCGAGGGTGCATCTTTTCCATGGATGCAAAAAGTGCGACATTTAAAGTGTGTTTTATTTTTTGTCCTTTTGAAATGACCGAAGTGACTGTGCATAACTTTAAAAGCAAAACAAATTATCGCATATATAGTTTTGTTAGACAGATATAACAATTTTTAAAAGGAAATGTAAACCCTAGATGTTAAAATTGTGCTCTAATTCTATTTACATTACATTACACTAATTTAGCATAATAATACAAGATAATAGAAATGCATGATCTACTACTCTTTTCTACTCAGTGTTTTCTTGCCTTTGAATTTTTATTAGATTGGAGAATTCTGGGGTTTCTAGCTTTCATATGAATTTTTCTTTGTCTTTTCCCTTTTTTTAATAGATGATAATAATGAAGAAGAAGGTGTTGACATGAAAGAAGATTCAGGTATTAAATTAATGATTTTATTCATAGAGCACAGAAAAAAACCATTGTGTTGTTTATGTATGCCTCACATTTTTTCAAAGAAAAACATAATAAGGTTAATAAAACAGGTGAAGGGGATTAAGAGTACATTTACCCTGATGAGTGCTGAGTACCATATGGAATTGTTGAATCACTATATTGTACACCTGAAACGAATATAACACTGCATGTTAACTATACTGGCATGAAAAGACAAAAAAATAGAAATGTACACTCAAGGTCATAAAATAAGAAAGTAGTTGTGCTAACTCTTACAGCTAATACAATCAGCATATTTAAGCAGTAAACTTTCAGCTTTCTGAAAGCTGAGGTAAAAATGGAACCTGATGTTATAACGAATAGAGCTGTGTAGCAAATCACCCCAAAGCTTAGTGATTAAAGCATCTGCTTATTATGCTCATATATTCTGTGGCTCAGGAATTCAGACAGCGTAGCAGGGCTGACTTGATCCTGCTGCTCTACAAGGTCTAAGGCCTCATCAAGAAGCCTCAATGGCTGGGGGCCTGGAATCCTGTGAAGATCTGTTCACTCAATGTCTGGCCAGCGATTGATATCGGCTCTTGGACTCTCAGCTGAGACCACAGCTGGGGCAGTTTTCTGAAACATCTATTCATGGCCTTTGTCTATAACCTGGGCTTCCTCTCAGCATGGCAGCCAGTCTCCAGAGAGAGCAAAGTGAGCCAGCAGGAGCTGTAAACTTTTTAAGCTTCAGCCTCAGGAGTCCCACAGAATGACTTCCACAGAACTCTTTTTGGAACAGTCATTAAGAAGCCTGCCCAGGCTCATGGGGAAAGAAAATAGTCTCAGTCTCCTGATGGGGAGCAGTGAGGTTTTGTAGAGGCACATGGGACCTGAAAACTTGCCATGGCCATCTTTGGTACATATATTTGGTGCATATGATATATTTTTCTCACTATCAGAAATTAAGATGTGTGCCTACTCCTCAAGAAAGACCAGTGTTTGATGAGGGAAATCTAATGATCACAAACATTGGATCTGGCCTAAGGGGGCCACTCAGTATGTGCTTGTTAATGAATGCATGAATCAATAGGGCCTGAATTCAATCCTAGCTCCTCCATTTATGGACTTGGGGCAAAAGTTTTCTCTATGGGCCTCAGGGTATACCTCTGGGGCCAATAACTCTTACCATACAGTCTTGTTTGGGAATTAAATGAGATATCATACCTGAAATGTTTCTTGGACCTTAGTAAACACTAAATTATCCCTTTCTTTCTCCTCTAGATATTGGAAGGGTATAGAACTTAATTCCATAGTATAAGAACTCCATGTTCCCCATTTTGGCAACCACACTGTTCTAGGCATGAAATGGGGCCAAGTTTCAAAATTAAAATCGATATCTCAGAGGTCCTAATTTTGTGTGTCCTGCTGTTCAATGCCAGAATGCCATCCATTATTCACCAACAACCTCAATCTGAGCACCTCCATTAATGGAGAGCAATTTAAATTCTGAGGTAAACGATCTCTGTTAGTCGAGGTTTGGTTAAAATGGTCCTTTCTCCTGGTTAAGTTAAAGTCTTTCTCCCTCCCTTGATCTCCCACTATCTTTGTGGAAAGACACCAACAGGTCTTTTCTTCATAACAGCTCACTGGAGCAATGACCATAACTCCTGTCTAGCTTCCAGCTTCTTCTCTGGTCCAAACATGCCTGAGTCCTATGGTTCCCTTGGTCTCCCCAGGGCAGTGGATTCGGAGGGCAGGAGAAGTCAAGGGAGGATCTACAACCCAGGAGCAGGAAACTGCTGTAATAACAGTTGTCCGTTCCCTGCCTGTATATCCTTGGTACCTGCTTGTCGCTTCATAATATCAACAGCAGTCTAAGGAAAGTTCTTGTGACCCTCAGCTGAGTGTTGTTTGCTGATGAGGAAAGCAAACTAAAAGTGCCAGGGAGTTAATTTGTCTGGAGTAGCCCTCAGCCAACAATGGGCAAGAGTTGGTGGACCCAAGCAGGACACCTATGAGGCAGGTTATGTTTCAGCGCTGTCCAGTAGAAATAGGATGGGAGCCTCAAATGGGAGCCTCCTGTTTAACTTCAGATTTTCTAGTAATCACATCAGAAAAAGTAAAGAGAAACAAATGAAATTAATTTAATACTATTTTATGTAATATATCCAAAGTATTATCATTTCAAAAAGTAATCAATATAAAAATTATATGAGCCTGATATTTTACATTCTCTTTTTTCCATACTGAGTTTTTGAAATGTGTGTGTGTTTTACATTCATGTCTCAATTCAGACTAGACACACTTCATGTATCTATTGGCAAAGTGTGGTCAACGAGATTCTGTATCATCACCCAGAGGTCCCCAGTGGAACTTGCTCACACCCAGTATTGGCTGCTTTCCCTTTCCTGTTTCCCTTCCCTACTTCCCTCTGGCACTTTCTGGGATAATTTCTTAAATGAAGTATTTGCACTCAAACCCTTGTCTCAGCGTCTTCTGAGAAAATCCAACCTGAGACAAGGACTCTGCTTGCCTTTTGTAAAACATAAAGCCCAAGGTGAAATTTCAATTGGAATATCCATTCCCATGACCATGAGAGATGTCTTATTGCTTAAAAGAACCATATGTTGAAAAAAGACTTTAAGCGGTCACCCCACCTTGGATTAAATTCCATGAATTTAATGTCAATTTTTGCTGTTCTCCTTTATCCTGCTCACGTGAAGTATCCTTGGAATATCCTTCAGCTGTTGGGAGTACTGCCCTTTTATCCGGCCAGTTTAAGGACCTTATCTTGCTAAGGATCATTTGCCTAAGTGCCATAAGTACACATTTCTAGGCAGGGGGCGTTGACTTCTTAATGAGATGCAGCTAGCTTTCCATACCACTGAGTGATTTTAAGAAAATCATTATTAATGCTAATGCAGAGCCCACAAGGTTGGAGTCAGCATATGAGGTTTAGGGGACTTTAATTGGATCATCAGTTCTGATCTTAGTCTTATCAGGTTTCCTGGGGGTTTTGTGTCCAGCAGCTTGATGCAGCTGTTAAAGTCATACTCAATGGCCCAAAGATGCTAAGTCACTAGGCCAGAATGGCCTTGGGAAACTGCTCTCCATTTCCTAATATCGGAGTGCTGAAATCATGGGGGATTTCTGTGCAGAATGGTTCCATGATGTGTCACTGGCCTTGCCAGACATTGGTGAGGAGGCTGGCTTCAGTTCAGATCTCATACTCGGGCATGTTGGTCTCGAAGACGGGTCTCCAACCAGACCATTAAGTGCTGCCTGTCTTCTGCCCAGTGTTGCCTGTATTGCAAGTAGAAATGCTGGAGGGATTTTTATGAATGCAGCTGACATTAGTGAAAGGCTACTTGGGAGAAATAAATGCTAGTGAATGATAGTGAATAACAATCTGAATACCAAAAACCAGTAAGGTTCTGGTAAACCGACTCTCTGGGTGAAGGGAACCCCCCATTGGGGGAGTTTACATATTTCATTATTGTAAATACACCCACTGTGGTGGTGTTGAAGCTACCAAACATGAGATCAATGAAAGCGGGAGTTGAGGAGAGAGGTATAGTCAGTTGGCTCACGTCAGCCCCAGCACACGTCTGCTGAACCAGATTTTAATCAGGATGTACCTTGTGCCAGTCAACATACATGAAGTCATTCAAGATATGCAACAACCCTAGGAGGCAAGGATTGTTACTACACAAGGCTTAAGAGGAATTAGCTCCTGGCTTAAGTAGGAGAGCTGTTAAGTGTGTCTGACCCCAAAGCTCACACCCTTGTACTCCAGCTCCAGACTCTAAAAGCAAGTAGAGGCAGGAGCATCTCAGGTGGTGTGAGACAAGTTCATCCTCAAGGTGAGGCTCTGCCCCCATGGGGAATGACAGAGACAGACTGGCTTAAATGCTTAGGATTCTCTTAAAGTCCTTTATCAGTTTCTTTAATCCTAGCATAGAAAAGGTTTCCCCATGTCCTTCCATTCCTGAGACCATGCATTGTTGAAATGGACACCAACCCGGGACAGAAAATCAATAGCCACCTATGGCAGTTCAGCTACGTGACAGTGAGGAGCACAGTTGAGTTCTTCAGGCGGCAAAGCTATGCTCAGGGCAAAGCTCCAGGTCCCCACCTTCTGCCGGAAAGAGAGGTAACATAGATAATGTGATATGCTGCCAAGGAGAAGTATGGGGTGCTTTGGAGGAATGTTCCTTCAGCTTCTCCAGACCAAGAGGGAGCATTGTTTCTGCTGAACCACAAGTAGAAATCTGGGCACAGAAGCCATGTGTATCAGTGACTTTCATTTGAATGCCTCCATGTCTGTTACAAAATGATACTAATGTCATAGATGATTATTGATAATTAACATGTATCCATGCCCACCGACTACCCAAGGAGGGCCCTGTCACTTTTTAAAAAATGAAGTACTAGTCCTTTTTGGGTATTTACCTCAAAACATGGACAAATAGAGACAAATAGATGTCTTTCAGAGATGTCTCACCCATTCCCCAAGAATTCCTATTCAGGTTGGAAAATCAGATTCATTATCAAAAACTCACTTTCAGGAAATGCTGGTTTGGGGTTGAATCCCCAGCATTGGAAGCGCTCCTCTTAGTCCCTGTTGCAGATGATGCATTTCAGAGGCATCTTCCAGAGAGTCTTAGAGTTTCCTTCCAGGGAGATCATAAGTGTTGCTTTGCCCATTTTATGCATCCTTTTGAGCACAGCATCTGTGCTCAGTGAGCTATTCCAAGCATCTCATTTCTGGTTTTGCTGAACCCATTCTGAAGGGTCAATTTCCATCTCACACCTGGTGACAGAAGTTTGGGGGAGTTGCTAATGTAATCATTGGTGGAATTTTTCACCCTGGCCATGGTAACGATCTTAGATGTGACTTACTTGCAACCACAGAAAGCCTAACTTAGTGCCCAAAAACCTTTGTAGTTTTTAATAGCACATCTATCAAATGCAATTTTTTGTTCTGTTCCTTTTTTAATAAATGGGAAAAGAAAAATGAGTCGCCATAGCACTGTCGTGTAATTTTAGAATCCTGGCATAAGGCGACAGCTGCTAAGAGAGTAAGAATTAGGCATGAGCCCCATTATATCTTGGCCTTAAAGAAAGGCCTGGGTATGGGGGGAAAGAAAATGGAGTTGGAAATGAAATTCTCAACACACTACTAGGTACCAGGGACACAAGAGAGTTTAGGAAAGACAAATGTCCTTTTCTCAAGTAACTTACATTCTAGGAGGTGGGATGGGGAAGGGAGACATACAATAAAGAAAGAAGAGGACAAAATAACTTCAGATACACCAAGTGATGTATTTGAGAGAGATTTCCCTTGCAGGCACCCTTCGTGTTAGGAATTAGCAGAGGACCTTTCTTGGGAGCTGAGTTTGATTTGAGATTAATAGGTGAGAAGGAGGTAGACACATGAGTGTTGTTTTTGGAGGGGGAGGGGAGAAGAACAGCAGATGTGATGATTCTAAGGCAGAAACCAGCCTAGTGATGACTGAAGAACACACAAAGACAGCCAAAGCGCAAGTGGGAGACGAGGCTAGAGCAGTAGGTAGAGCCTGAGGGCCATGTTGTCCCGGCCCATGGAATTGGATTTGGATCTTATTCTAAGACCAGTGGTATTTAAACATGTGAGCAACAGGATCGGCTTTATGTTTAGAATATAACTCTGGCTGCTACACGGAGAATAGCTAGTTTCAGGGAGTTTAGAAAGCCAGAATGTTACTATAGGAACTCAGGTAAGAGAGGCTGCTGGTTTGGATTAGGGTGATGATTGCAAAGGATGAGCACAGTGCATGAATATGGGATATTTTGGAGCAGAGCTGATAGGACTTATGATGACCTTCCTGGAAGAGTGACTGAAAGGAAACATTAAGGACAATATCTCAGTTTGGGGGTTTAAATTCCTGGGCAGATAGTGAGATGTGAAATACTTGGAGAGAACAGGTTTGCAGACATCAAGAGTATTGTTCCAGCTGTGCTGTTTGAAATGCCTAATGGGATTATTTACGTAAATTTGAAATGCTTGGTGAGAGCCCAGTGAAGGGAAATCCTGGGGGCTGGAAAGAGGGAGGCACCATTATATCCCAGCCCTGAAAGGACAATGGGGGAGGGGGTAATTACAGGACGCTGGAGACAGAGAGGATGTGGAGAAAGCCAAGTGATTGGGTCTGTGACCTGAGATAGAGGGGTACAATAAGCCCTTGAAGGTTACTGGTAGCCTAGGAAGAAAGCCAGAAATTTCACTGGTACATAGAGACCAGCCTCCAGTGCACAACTGGGTAGGAGGTGGGGTAGAAAGTGAAGAGTGGAGAGAAGACAGCCAGTCCAAATACAAAACGAGCTGCCATGTAAGCCGTTGAAGACATAAGCTTTGAGCTTAGCGGAGAGACCAGGACTGGAAATACAAATTAATGCCTAACAAAGTATCTGTATCTGAAGGGAATAAATTTAGAGTCACTTTTCCTAAAACTGTCTTCAGGATTTTTTTTTTTTTTCAGTCTTCAGAATTTGAATTATCAGCCTCCTTGGATAGACTTGGCCCCAGGGGGTATTGGGAAGGATTGAGAAAAGTGGGAAACATGTTAATTTAATTGGGGGCATATAGAAGTTGTTTAGAATTTGGATGACTAAAGCTCCACCCAACCCCCCAAGATGAGATGACATTGCAGCTGATCTAGCTCTACTTTGAGGATTTAGTAAAATGAAACTGCATTTTAGCAACTGTCAGTTAATCCGTGAAGTTTTAAATCAAACTCCTGTGGGGGGGGAAAATGGGGGGTTGCCTTATGGAGAATTTCTTTTAATTTAAAAAAGACATTTAAGATTTCACATCTGTGTGAGTCATTAATGATGGTCACAAAAAGATGTTAAGCTTTAATGTCAATCTATGTGCACTGGGGAATCACAGGCTCTTGCCAAAATTTAGCTCAGTCAAAATGACAAATGAATCTGTGATCAAGCTTCACTATACATGTGGGTTTACTGAGGGAAAAAAAAGGACTTTAAACTTCAACGTAATTTTAAATATTGAATATCTAAATAAGAATGTTTTAAATCTTTATGCTTCCAGAGGGGTTAGAGCCAAAAGGCCTCTCTCCACCCCACAAGAAGAGCAAAGCAAAGAAGCCAGAATGTTCCAAAGACTCTAGTGAGGGTGAGTCCTGTTCCTCCTGTCTTAAAAAAATTACTCCAGGAAAAGAAACTTCTGGTTAACTTTTTTAAATTATGTGTTCAGATATTTCTCAGGGAGCAAAAATCACAGAATTCTTTATCCTTTCCTACTATGTGGATTCTCACCTGAATGCGAGGACAAAATATCAGATTTAGGTTTAATTGGTGAAGGTAAAAACCAAGTCTGAAAAAACACATTTTCTCATCGTGAGGTATTTTCTGTTCCTGCAAAGTGCTGACAAATCGGGTGCTCTGTCATCACGTAAAGGTGAAGTTATAGACCTGGGTGTGACGAGCAGTGCGTAGCTAATTGCCTTATTGGGATCAATTGCTTTTTTTCATGAACACATTCTGAGTCCAGGTTCAAACCTGTGCAGTGGGTGCTGGAAATGCTTCCGGTCTTTTTTTCTCTTCCACTTTCTAGAAGCCAGCGTATCTTTGCATTAAATGGACAGGCTCAGTTGGGCTCAGTTTTCTGAAGAAATGAAGCCAGTCTTTCTTTGACTTATAACACTAGTGCCACCTACAAGATATTCAGATTTTTCTTTTAAAATGTAGATTAGGTACTTTTTTTAAGGGAGCCTCTCATCTCCAGAGTATGCATGAACTTCTTAAAGGGGGAACATATTTATGCTTTCTCGTTTCTTGCCTTGGATCCTCACTTCATCCTCCGTGAAATGGAGAGCATTATAATACTGATGGTGTCAGCTTGGGTCTTTGGTAAAGAAGATGCCAAGATGAAATAGAAGTGCAGGAAATGTATGGGAGCAGGGAGCCTTGAAGGGTAAAGGGGGGAGGAGCAGGGGGAGGCGAAGGAGAGAAGGAAGGAAGATTAGCTAGGAAGAGCCTCCATCTGCAGTGCAATCTGCAGAAGTCTGGGGAGGCACTGGGCAGGATATGGCCGGCTCCAAGATCCCTTTCCTCCTGCTCACTCACTGGCCACAAGCAGCCAGGGGAGAAAGTGGCCTCGGTGTGACTATAATGCTGCAATGGGCCCCAAAATGTGGCCAGTGGCTGCTGTCAGCTAACTTCATTCCCAGCAGCATGTTCCCTCTTGAAGGGAGATCCTGAACATCTCTCCTCCATGAGAGCACAGCATCTGCATGAGTGTCGGGGTTCCAACTAATAAGTAATGACACTGCCTTCACCCTCACCTGGGTTCAGAACCAACTGAGAAGGCAAAGCTGTAGGAAAGTTTGAAACCAAAAACATGAGCTTTGTTACTAATGAGGTTAGATCAGGCCCTGCCCCCAGATGGGCTTCCTAAGGCTGGATTTCACTCCTGAATATAAAAGATGTAACCTCTGTCCCCTCAGGAGCAAGTACCATTGTCCTTGGTATCTTGGGTGCTTGGGCAGAGGCCACCCGGGTGAGCTTATTATATGAAAAAGAACAGACCAGGACATGCCCTCTCTGTGGACAGGTGGATCTGAGAGAGACTCGAGATGTGTCTGTTTCTGCAGCCCCCCACCCCCGCAGGCTTGGATAAGTGAGGGATGAAGAGAAAGGCACAGCAGTAAATGTTCTCTGCCCTTTGGTTGAGGAACAAGAAATAAACATTTCCAACTAACAGTAAACAATAGAAATAGTATGTATAAAGTGCCTAGCACAGGTCCAGCATTCATAATGGCTATTATAATTGCCATATTAATCAACACCATGAGAGGGTGCACACTGCCCTGATTCACTTAAATATGCTTGAGAGCTTCAAATCATTCATGGTGAATACTTAGAACCATGGAGAAGGCCAGCAGTTCTCATTGGCCCAAGGTGATAAGAGCTTTGGGCTTTCATCTCCTACTCTAATGTCATTTCCTGGACTATCTCTTGAGGCCATGACTGGTAAATGGGTTAAGGGCAAAATGACAATCGCCTTTTCCTTGGAGAGGCTCCACCTCACCTAGTGGTTCCCATCAAATGTCCAACCCACATCAGAGGTTGTTTTCCGGAGCCTGAGCCTGTGGTCATTTCAAGTGTCAATGTGGTGAGCCATAAACTACAGCAGTTCTGTCTCCTTTAATTAATAAGGGTATTCCTCCCAGTTATTCTTTCAGGTGAGTGGAAACTTCTTTTGCCTCCTAAATAATTTGCTTTGTTTAGGAACATCATTCCGTAATTCCAAGATAAGTAGATAATATGGCTTTTCCTTACCCAAAGATGTGGTCTCAGAATATGCTCTAAGGCACCAAAGCGCCATCACTGTGGATTCATGACCAGGGACATTCTGTCTGTGGCATCATGGTGAAATCTAACATTAGCCACTCTGTAGAAACATGGGAATTGTGTGTTTGTTCCTAAGATGATTTTCAGGATGAAAAAGTAAAAATTGCTGGAAAAATGGTAAGAAATAGCTAAAGGTAGATGATTCTATGATGGGCACTCATTATTTATCAATGTTTCTATTTTGATGAAATAAACTATATCCTGAATTCATGTTACATATGTTTCACTTCCTCTCCTGATTCAAAGAGTTATAATCTTTGATTGGTAAAGAGTTACAATTCTTTCCCACTAGACATGAAAACGGAATATTGTATCCCTGGGTGGAGGGGTAATGCAGATCATGATCCTTCTCTGTGATGGGCTTCCCATTTTAGAGTTATCAGTCCTTTTCCAACTTGGTCGTCTCTCTAACATATATATATATACGTATATATATATATATGTATATATATATATAATATATATATTTAGTAAGAGAAGCTTCTGGTATTTTTATTTATAGATCACTCAGCTAAATTCCCCATTACTTGGCTTCATCTTACTTCTCCCCTACCTTTGGGTTCCCAGCCCTGATTCTAACCTTCATGGGTCTTCTTGATTACCTCAGTTTACCTTATAATATCCATTCTCAGACAGGATCATAGAGAATAGAGTTGGAACACAAACTCACCTAGATTTTCTGGCATATATAACTGTGATAACTGTATTTTGATCCAGAAGAATTTTGGGAACATATGGGCAAGTTATCTCATTCTACAGATCTGTTTTAAAGTAGACTGTGAATGGTTTTTTAACTTGCCCAAAGTCCGTGCAGCTTGTTAATGTCAGAATCTCTTCTTTTTTTCTAGAAACAACATAACTTCACTAATCCTTTTCCCTTTCTCTCTTCGGGAAACTAGACCTACTTTTGTTGAAGGAGGCAACATTGCTGTTATTGCAGCCTTGATTAAAAGCCTTATCTCTTTCGCAAACGTTGTACTAAAGTACTGAACATCAAAAGAAATAAACAATTTCCAAATGAATTTTTAGCATTTTTTGTATGCTGGACTTTTGGATATAGAGTTTCATTTTGATTGTTTTGATTGAACTTTCATGGATCAGAGTATTGACCCACTGCAACACCATGCCAACAAGGAAATGATTAGTAATTTCAGATTGGCTGGGATCTGATACAAATGATAAGCCAACCATGAGCTGGCAAATTATAGGCATAATTGCTTGAAAAACACCTGGTAAATGGCACTGCCAGCAATTCCAACTCTCAGGAATTTGGACCAATTTTTTTTTTCTTACAAAAAAATTAATTGAAAGAATATTATAGAAAACTTAGCACCATTAAGAAAACATGCTCCTCTCACACTCTTTCCTCCATCTTTCACCGGGAAATCCTTTTAGAAGTTACTATAGTGAAAATCTCTCTGGCTTTGTTTGTGTGCAAACATTATTATTTTGCTATTTTTTTAAGGCAGTTTTCCTGGGTGAAAATTTGAGGTTGATGGTTATTTTCTTAGAACATTTCAAGATTTTTCCCCCCACTCATATCAGTTCTGTAGTTGTTAAGAGGTAATATCCCAGTCTAATTGTTTCTTTTAAATTGTCTTTACTTTCTCTTTGCACTGACAATCTGGTCTTTATCTTTTTTGTCTCTCAGTTTCCCTATGATGTCCCTCTGTGTGTGTTTCTCTTTATCTTTTTTAGGATTTGCTGTGCTTCTTGGATATGGGAATAGACATATTTTTTAGTAAAGTTCTGAAAATTTTTCTCCTATTGCCCCACCAAATACTGTCTCCACTAACTTACATTGCTTTTTTTTTTTTTTCCCTTCCTGTGTCCCTATCTATCTCTCTTTGATGCTTTCTGGTTAGTTTTTTCAAGGCTATCACTCGATTCATTAATCTTATTTAACTTTAATCTGATTTCCATTGTTATCATTTTCATTTTTATAAGTTTTATTTGGTTCTGTTTCAAATATAGCTGGTCATCCTTTATTTATAATCACATAAAATATTTTAAAAAAATAATCTGTATCTGAAATTTCAATATCTCTAGTCTGTCTAAGTCAAATTCTGTGGTTTGTTGTTTTTGCAGATTCATGGTTATGGTTATTTCCTTGTATATTTTGTCTTTTTTATTGCCATGGTCTTTAGATTTTTTTTGTGGGGATTTTCTGAAGCTGGATTAAGAGTTTATTTATTTATGTTTTGTTTCTGAGATACCTTTAGATACTGCCGATTTAGGGAAACTTTAAACTACATATTTGGCTTAGAGTTTTCTGTTTTGTTTTGTTTGCTACTTGCCCATGTTAGTACATATATATTATAAGATTAGGAAATCCCAACAGAGACTTTTTTCTTCCTTTATTCCTCTCCAACCAATGCTAAAACTAAGATGAGAAAATTTCCTACTATACTCAGGAGCAAAGCACGGGTCCTATAGCTCCCATGTATGGCTCATTCAAACCCAAGCTTTAGCTAGTGGTTTTCAAAGAGTATTCCTGTCTGTATCACCAACATCACCTGGGAACTTGTTAGAATTACAAATTCTAGGGCCTCATCTCAGACCTACTGAATCAGAGATGCTGAGGTGGGGCCCACTAATCTGTGTTTTTAAAAGCCCTTGGGGTATTCACATGCCTGCTTGAGTTTGAGAACCACTATTCTAGAGTCTAGACCATCTGGGTATTGGCAAATGCTTCAAAGCAAACAATAATTTCAGTGCTTTTTTACAAATCTTGGTTCAGTCACCATCATTTCTGGCTTC